ATATAAGCGTAATAATTCATCTGTAAACCTAGAAATATGCAGCCTATTTTGAAAGAGATGTACCCTATCTCAGAAAAATGTTATTGAATAGGTTAATGCTGTTGTAATGAAATGCTTCTTTTAATTAAAAAAAATATATCTGAATTATTAAAGTTCAAAACGGTAGACTCTCATTACATTCATTAGCTTTTCTTTAGAACAGAAAAGTAATGAAGAAAAATTACAATGGGCAGCTTTGTAAAAGATCCAAGTTACTTAAAAACACAACAAAAAATTATAGACAACATCCTTGAGGATCATGGACACAAAGACTCTCAGTAAAAGGCATATAAACTGAATTCAATCACCCATTAAAAGCAATCACATACCATGACTATGATAGCTTAATTTTAGGAATACAAAGATGGGTCAGCATATGCAAATCATGACTGTAACAGAGCACATAAACAGACTCAAAGACAGATATCACTTCTCTTTTTTTTTTGGTCTCTTTGAGACAGGGTCTCCCTGTAGCCCCAGCAGACCTATAACTCACTATGTAGACCAGGCTGGCCTTGAACTCACAGAGATCCACCTGCCTCTTCCTCCCGAGTACTGGGATTAAAGGCGTGTGTCCCCGTTCAGGCAGAAATCGTATCTTGACAGATGTAGAAAAGTCTTTTACAAAGTTCAACATCTCTCCCAATGAAAGCCCAGAAAGGAAAAGAGGAACATGCCTCAACATAACAAAGCTATCCGTGACAAACCTATAGCCAGCTTCATACCAAATGAAGAAAAACTGAGTTTCACTTCCTCTAAGAATCTAAGAATAAGACAAAAAGTTTACACACTTCCCAGTTTTAGTCAATAAAATGCTTTAAGTCTTAACTAGAGCAAAAAGGCCATAGAAAGAAATGAAAAAAATAGGAAAGAAGACATCGAATTGTCCCTATTTTTAGACGACACGATCCAAAGACTCTCTACTAGAAATTCAGCCGTGATAAACATTTTCAGCAAAGTTACAAAAATCAGTAGCTTTTCTATATGCTATTAATGAACATGTTTAGAAAGAAATTAGGAAAACAATTCTATTTACAATAGCATTTTTAGAAAACAGGAATAAACTTACAGAGGTAAAAGACTTCTACGGTGGAAGATGGAAAGGCCTCCCATGCTCATGGACTGGCAGAATTAATATTGCGAAAATGCCAAAAGCTATCTATAGGTTCTAATGAATTTTTAAAAATTCACAGAATTTTTAAAAAATCCCGAATTACATATAAAAGCACAAAAGAACCTAAATAGCCAAAGCAAGCCTGAGCAAATAGAACGACTGAACCAGAACAAGAAGCCAGCACGACACCACCATAGACAGCCAAAGACCCAGAAATTAGCCTACACAGTCTCAGCCAACTAGTTTTTGACAAAGGTATCAAAACATGCATTAAAGACAGCCTCTAACAAACTGTGCTGGAAAAACTGGATCTCCATATGGAAGTAATATCAAGACCTAAAACACCGAAACTGCTGTAACCATTTCAAGGTTCAGGCATCAGTGGACCAGTGAGATGGCTCAATGGGTAAAGGTACCTGCTGTCAATACCCAGTTCCCAGAACCCACATGGTAGAAGGAAACCATTCTTGTGAGCTGTCCTCTGACTTCCACACACATGCCTTAATGTGTGCACACAGGCATGGGAACACACATACACAAACACAAAATAACAAATAAATGAAAAGGAAAAGAGAAAGATGTCCACATAGGTAAAGACTTTCCGAAAAAAGGAAAGAACTGACAAATGGCACTGTATGAAATTTTAAAAACTTCACAGCAAAAGAAATAATTATCAGAGTGAAGAGACAGCTTATAGAATGAAAGAAAATCTTTTTCAGCTATACACCTGACAGGGGATTAATATCTAGAATATATAAAGACCTTTAAAAAAAAAAAAACAGAGGCTCTGGAGAGATGGCTCAGCGGTTAAGAGCACTGACTGCTTCTGCAGAGGACCCAGGTTCGATTCCCAGCACCCACATGGCAGCTATGAACCGTCCTTAACTCCAGCTCCAGGGGAATCCAAAGCCCTCTTCTGACTTCCGCGGCATTGCAGGACATGGGTGCACTCACATACATGCAGGCAATACATTCGTACACATAAAATAAAAAAATAAATAAAATATTAAAAAACAAAACAAAACTGAAAAACCAAATAATCTAATGAAAAAAAATGGGTCAATGGAATGAAGAGACACTTCTAAAAAGTGAAGTACCAATGGCCAATGTCTATAAGATAAAATGTTCAACAACCTTGGCCATCAGTAAATGTAAACCAACAATATCTTGAGATTGGCACTGGGGAGATGGCTCAGCAGTTAAGAGTACTGGCTGCTCCTACAGAGGATCCAGGTTCAGTTCCCAGCATCCACATGGCAGCTAACAACCATCTGTAACTCCAGTTACTTGTAGGGGATCCAACGCCTGAACTCTACACACATTGTACCTCATGGGGACACTTACATACATGTAGGCAATACACTCATACACATAAAATGAAAATAATAAATAAAATATTTTTAAATACTTTGAGATTATTTCACCCCTGATAGAATGGCTATCAATAAAAAAATAAAAATAAAAAACCCAGCAAATGCTGGTAAAGATGGGAAGTGGGTTTCAAGGAAGAAGTATATACTTCTATATTGTATACTTCTATAATATATACTTCTAAATATATACTTGTATACTGCTGGTAGGAATGTAAACCATGCAGCCAGGATGGATGTCACCAGGGGAATTCCTCAGAAAAAGAGGACTACAACTACCAACAATACCACTCCAGGGAGCAACCCCCAGGGACTCCAAGGCAACACGCTAGAGACACCTGCTCATCCATGTTTACTGCAGCACTACTCACAAGAGCCAATCAGTTTAGGTCTATCAACAGATAAATAGATAGGGAAAGTGTACGTTTACTCAATGGAGTTTCACTCAATCATAAACAAAAACAAAATCTGTCATCTGCAGGAAAATGGACAGAAAGGGAGACGATCACACTAAGCAGAATAAGCCAGACCCAGAAAGATAGGTTTCATATTTTCTCAAAGTATAGAAATGATCCCTGACTGTATTGTCTTAAGTTTCACACTGCTCTCTCCTATGTGGAATCTAGGATTACACACACACACACACCTGTGACATGAAAATAGAAGGTAGACTATTTGGGAAGAGGAGGGGAACTGGTAGGAGGAAGGACGGGGAAGAGGAAGTGGTAAGGAGTGAACGTGGTCAAAATATGTGCTGCACTTGAGCAAAAATGCCATCATGAAATCTGTTGTATACAATGACTATATAGGAATAAAACAGAGCCAAATACTCAGGCAATAAATTAAGCTTCTTTGAACCAGCAGACTTTCCTCGAGTAGACGGGAAAGATCCAGAAGCTACCGCTCAGCACTGCCCATGGGAGGCTGCATCTCTGACTGAACAAGCTTATAGCATGAAGCAGCGATTGAAAGCATAGTGTACTATATTGTATACCTTATAACTAGAATACCTATTGCACAGTGCTGTTGTAAAATTTAACACAAGCAAATCAGCACTACTTTGAAGCAGAGAAAAACAAGGTATGAGTAAAAAAAATAATAAACCTTCCCTAAAAGGTTGAACAACTGAAGAAACTGCATGCTTACCACCTGATACAGAGGTCATTCCCTCCATTTCTAGAATAGTAACAGTCTATACTGGAGGCATGCTAAATAGAAACTTTGGAGGCAGAACATTTTGCCAGATCTTAGGTCTGGTGAGGAGTGTAAATACAGAGGCATGACCAAAACCTGTAACCCATGTGAAATTAACTTTTTTGCTGCACAGTGGATTATTGGTATCTATCTCTGGAGAGAGCATAAAGTTCTCAATCCCAGCAGAGATCTTGAATTGCAAAACTACTTACCCTCCTGAATTTTGAGTAGGACTTCTTCTGTTTTGAGATCGTTAAAGCATTTCACTTCAAATCCTAGATCTGAAAACCTGGTGGTACATTAAAGTCAGTATTAGTTTACGAGCTTTTCCAAGTCACCAAAGATCCTTACTTTTTGAGAAATTCTAATACATAGTTCTATGACATATGAATCTAACTTTTTTCCAGGGAAAAAAATTACAGTGATAATTTCCTTGGAAAGGATTGAACAGTAATGAGAGTTAATTCAGTTTAGAATCTTGCAATCCTATAACACACATCTATTAGTAACAATGCAAAATCCAAGAGCTTCAATAGAACTGGTAAGGAAGATAGCTCAGGCAAGTTCTTTTTTAAAAAATATTTTACTTATTATTATTTTTAAAAATATTTCATTTATTATTTTTATTTTATGTGTATGAACGTATTGCCTGAATGTAGGTAAGTGCACCCATGTCATGCAATGCCTGCAGAGGACAGAAGAGGCTGTCGGATCCCCTGGAACTGAAGTTACAGACAGTTGTTAGCTGCCATGTGGGTGCTGGGATTCGAACCTGGGTCTTCTGCAAGAACAGTCAATGTTCTTAAACGCTAAGCCATCTCTCCAGCCCTCAGGTAAGTTCTTAAGGGAGACTCTGTTTGGGGGTGGGGAGGAGTTCTGTATGGTTTGTGGTGTTGGGGATTGCACCTGGGGCCTCACGCAAGCAAAGTACATGCTGGAACTAAATGAGCCTCTTGACCTGCTATCAGTGTTGATTAATGATTAGTGATGCTATCACTTAAGTGGGGCCCCATGACAGAAAACTTTACCTTCGAAACAGGTTGTCCCTGTCTGCATTGGTGCCCGGCCTGTCTGGGAGTGTCAAGTGCCAGAAGAACCTCTCGTGATTGAAAATTAGGGCAATGCCTCTCCTCTTGTGGTCCATCTTGTATTTTTCTGCTGGATCAAACATTCCCCTGACAAGTTGATAGCAACAAAAACAACTCATGTTAAATTATATTAAATAATGAGCTCCACCAAGCCTATGTCAGGATGCAGACAGAGGCCACCAAGCCTAGATCAATGTGCAGATGGAGGCCTGCTGCTTCGACTAGGCTGAACACTGGAAGGACTGTGTTGATCAGGAAACTTAACTGTTAGTTAACAACGAGTGTGCCACCTTGAGCTCTGCATCCCAGCCCCTCTGCACTGACGTTTCCTCCTGGTCCCCAGAATTCTGCCACATGGCCAATCTCTAGTACTAAGCCCATGCCTTACCAAATCTTAAATAATCTGAACATCACCCCAGGTCCTTTGACAATCATCAGCAGCAACTAATCTTACTATACGTCAGCTCCCCAGATATTAAAAAAACCCAACACAGCAATTGTAGTCTCTAACCCAGGTTGCATTCTTGCTTTTGTTTCTAAAGGGTGATTGTGAGCAAGAAAGGAAAAGGCCATTATTAGAAAAGAACACACTTTTACCTTTTAGAGAAGTCGTTTGGTTCTGTCATGTTTTGTTCGTACCTATTAAAAAAAAGTTGTTAATTTAATTTTTTGAGACTGGGCCTCATTATGTAGCCATGACTGGCCCACAACTCTCTTTGGAGACCGGGCTGGCCTTGATCTCATAGAGATTCCAACCCTGCCTCTTCCTCCCCAGTGCTGGGATTAAAGGCGTGCACCACCATACCTAGCTTGTTAGTTAGGCTCAGACTTTGGGTCTCTTGAATGACAAGATCTGTACTGACTTCCTCACCATCTAGACACCCCTCCCTACATCCTTCTCTAACCTACACAGTGATGGAATGAAGCTGATCTGATCCAGCCACTCAGTGTTCCCAGTGACCCATGTGTTCACTACTGGCCACACACGACTACTGAGGGCTGAAACAGCAAGTTTAACTAAGGAACTCCATCTTTATTTTGAATGAATTTATTGTGTGCTGCTTAACTTGAGACTACTTTTTTCTTCAGGAAGGTCTCAAGCTCATGGGCTCAATGCTCCCCCTGGCTGAGCATCCTATGTGCTGGGACAGAAAGCACACGCCACCTGGCCCAGCTTTCAATGAAATTCAATTTAAGATTCCCGTGCAGCCAGTGGCTTCCATACTGAAAGTGCTCACCATCAATAATCTGTTTTCATCTGAGTAATTAACAGCTTAAAGGGAGGAGAGAGCTATAATGTTAACGAGAAAGAAAGATGCACCTTTGGCTGAGGTTTTAGAAGGCAGAATAGACTGTTTTCCTCCCTGTCCTTAACAGTCTCCCCTGACACCTGATTGTTCCAACTTCACTTCACCCAGGGGAAAAAAAATACAACAAAACAAACAAAACACTACCCCAGCAGTGAGGGTCATGGTGGGGAATCTGGCTCAGGGCCCTTTAGCCAGTTGCTTTCAGCCTGTCCCTTTTGGAGTCTACTCAGACAGTACTTCTCAATAAAGACTCAGGTAGGGCATTTCCTTGTCCAACAGGTCCCAAGTGGATTTTCTCAGCTTGCCTCAGAATTCCTGGGTGTTAGAATACAGTTCCTTGGGTCTCATAACTATGATTTATAGAACCAGTCTCTGGGAAGAAGGAGTCAGCCAGAGAGGCAGCCACTTTACCTCAGTCTCTACTCTCTCCTTGCCCGAGCACTACCACAGGAACCAGTCACTTCTCCGGACACTCACTGCTCTGAGAGGCGATGCACAGAGGCCTCAGTCACTGGGCTTCTTCCTTCGCATAGATGTTCCTCCTGTGCTTCTGTTTCCACTCTACAATACTATAGAGAAATCGGAATTAACTTCCAGTCAAACAAATGGAATCCACACCAGAAAGCCAATCATGGTCCTCTCCCCCAAGACTCCAGCCCAGCAGGAAGGCAGCCAGTCTTGGCCTTGAGAAGGTGGTGGCAGACCTGGCAGGCAGGTTACTGCTTCCTGCTTTTGCCTCCATTGACTGTGGATCCCAAGACAGCTCAAGGTGTACCTGAGAGATGCTGTGCCAGAGGCCATTTCGAAGCTGACAAACTCCTGAGGACTAAAGTCCTAGAAACTCTGCCTATCTGCTTCCCTGTTCTGTAAGGAGAAGCTTCAAAGTGCTTCCCATCTACAGGAGCTTAAGGCAAGAGTTCAAGTTGTCGGCCATAATTTCCTCAGCTTAGTTAAGGCCTACAGACTTTCTTTTGAGTTGTTGCTCAAGAAAATCTATTTAAAATGACATTCTCCTTCAAAGTTATCAGATTCAACAACCTCAGTAAGGAATTCTAATTTGTTATTATGTGACTGTTTTACTTGCATGTAAGTGCATCTGTGCATGCAATGCCCATGGAGGTCAGAAGACAGTGTCAAGAGCCTCTGGAACTGGAGTTACAGAGGTTAGCTACCATATGGGTGCTGGGAACTGAACCTGGGTCCTCTGCAAGGACTGCCAGTGCTCTTAACCACTGAGCCAGCTCTCTGGCCCCTTCAGTAAGGGTTTTTTTTTTTTTTTTTTAATGTGTGTGTAAAGTTCAAGCTTATATAGTTTTAAAAATATATTTATTTTATGAGGCTAGAGAGATTGCTCAGTGGATGGCTCAGACCCTGTCTCTTGCTTTGTTTTTGTATTTTTGGGTCTTTTTGAGACAGGGTCTCCCTGTAGCCCCAGCTGGCCTGGCATTCACCATGCAGACCAGGTTGGCCTCAATCTCACAGAGATCCACCAGCCTCTGCCTCTCAAGTACTGGGATTAAGGATGATCTCGGCCACACTCTATTAATTTATTTTTAAAATGCATTCTACTTGCCCAGGCTCCTCTTGAACTTAATATCCTCCCGGCCTCAGCCTCCAGAGTAGCTGGGATTAAGATATCCTACATGAGATTTATAAACGCATAGCCATCTGTGATCTACTTATCAAAAAGGTATCAATCATTAAACATGACTCCAGCAGGGAGTGGTGGCACATGCTTTAATCCCAGCACTCGGGAGGCAGAGGCAAGCGGATCTCTGTGAGTTCAAGGCTAGCCTGGTCTCCATAGCAAATCCAGGCCAGCTAGGGCTACAGGGAGACCCTGTCTCAAAAAGCCCCAAAAAAAAAAAAAAAAAAAAAATCAAATAGGCTGGAGAGATGGCTCAGTGGTTGAGAACACAGGCTGTTCTTGTAGAAGACCCAGGTTTGAATCCCAACACCCACACGGCAGCTAGCAATTGTCTGTACTCCAGTTCCAGGGGATCTGACGCCCTCTTCTGACCTCCTCAGGCACTGTACAACACCGGTGCACTTACATACATGCAAGCAATACATGCACACACATAAAACTTAAAAAAAAATTAAAACAAAACACCCATGATGCCAGAGCTCTTTTGACTTCCTCCTCTTCTGGGCCACCATCATGTACATGTAAAGACTGCCTTCTCTTAGTTTAATTTTCAGAAAATTACTTGCTCCTTTTTCCTCTTCACCCTAGTTTCCAGACCATGTCTTTCTGGGTGGCCTGGCACTTTGGATACCTTATCTTTTATCTTCTCCACAGCCCAGGGGCAGGTAAAGAAAAGTGGCCAGGGTGCCTAAAATCAGCCCTGAGAGGTTGGGACTGAAAGTCAGGGCTACTGGTGGATTCTGGTGGATTCCAAAGTCTCACAACCTGTCACTAACCATCCACCAGAGGCCCACCTTTCCAAACAGGCTGTCACATGAAGAGCTACCCATATTCCCTGTCTGTTTAATAACCTGTAAGAGTAACCACCTCCTCCTTAGAACACACACAGGAAAGGGCGTGGCGTGGGGAAATAATGGAAAGTAGGGGGAGGAGACGAGGAATCAAAACCCACTGGGCGGGGCGGGGGCACGCCAGCGCCTGGCTCCCCACTTCCGACTTCCCACCTCTGGTTTCCCACCCCTGACAACCTAAGCTGGAGATGGCCACTGGACCCCGTGTGTCCAGCAGGGCCACTCTCAAAACCACACGGACTTTTACAGCTTGCCTCGGGGGTGAGGTTTCCCCGCACAGCGGCGGGCAGAAGCGCTGGAATAAAGCCTTTAGCTATCAGGCTTGCAGTCTCTAACTTTCACTAGTACCAATTTTGATACAGGAAGCCGGTCCTGAGCTGGAGTCCGGGGTCCGGTCGCACGGTCAGCCAGAAGCTGGTTTCCGGCAGCGGTGCCCAGCCCTTGCAGGGGGTTGAGCCCGGCCCTGGGCCGCTGCCCGGCGCTCTGCCTGCCACTTACTCCCGTGATAGGACGGCCGCCCCTTCCCACTTCTCCCAGAAACGAGGTGAAGGAGTCAATGTGCAAAACCCGGCTCCGCGTGGCCCGGCGGGGAGGGCTGGCGGCCGCCTTCAAACTTTCAGCAGCCTGGACCCTGCGGAGTCGGAGGACAAAGGCGCCGGGCAGGGCTAGCCTGGGCAAGCAGGGCCGCCTCCCGGGTCTCCCCTCGCTCCCCGCCCGCAGCTTCGACCAGTCCCCAGGCCGGGAAGCCGCCGCCCGGCTCCTACCTGCAGGCCAACTCCTCGACCTCCCAGCTATGGCCCGAGGCCGGGCTTACGGAGGTTCCCCCGCACGCCCCGCCCCACCCCGCCCCATGCAGCCCGCCTCTCCCTCCCCCGCCGCGGGCGGGCCCTCAGCACCTCTTCTCCCGAAAACGCCTTGGGGGTACCGGAGAACCCGGCGGGGAGGCGGGGGTGACCCCTGGGAGCTCTTCCCGCTCCTGCTCTGTGCAAATGCTTTGTTTAGACCAGAGCTGGGCAACACCACCTGGAGGCAACTCCGGGGAGTCGGGCTTTTAACCTTCCTTTGCTCCTTTCTTACACCTCTAGTACCTGACGATGACCTTGAACTTCACGTCATCCGGCCTCCACCTCCACGACTGCAGTGGCGACTGGCGTCCGCCCCAGCTTTGTGGAGTGATGAGTATAAACCCAGGGCTTCCGGAGTGCCAGGCAAGTACTCTGCCAGATACTGGATTTTTAAATCTGGCTTTCATAAGTAGGGGTTATTTGGGCAAGAGTTTATGCAGGAACTCTTGGGACGGACTAGGAGGTCTATAGCTTTTCTCTGGGAGAGCATGCGCCAAGAGTGTCTATCCAGTGCCACCTGGAGGCTCGGCCTTCAGTAGAATCTAGCTCCTCTTGGGTGACTTTGACTATGGGGGAATTTTATTTCAACTGACAATTCTTTCAGATTGAATGAAGAGTGGGACCTCTGTAACTCCCTGAGGGGCTAAATCTAGTTAAGGTGTAACCAGTTGGCTGAGAATTCTTTTATTCTTTTTCTTTTGGTCAGTCTGGAACTTTCTTTGTAGACTAGGCTGGCCTCACTCTCAGAGATCCGCTGTTAGGGTCTGAGACTCCGTGAGCTTCCCAGGAAAACAATATGTACGAGTGCGGAGATATAATTCAAGCAAAGTCTTTATTAAGCCAGCTAGGTGGGGTCAACTGTCCTCCCAAGACACGCAGGCCTGGTTAGAGCAATCGACCCTGAAGCAACTTCAGGCAAAGTTTATATAGGATTTTCACAGCCGTTGTACCAGAGCCCATGCATTTTCACACAACCAATAGCTTTAAAACACCTAACCTATAGATTTAAGCCAATTCATGTGTGTCACCCTCTGGGTGGTACGTGTCAGTTTCCTGATTTCTGTAATCTCTTATTTACACAAGCATTTCTGACAGCCTTCTGTTATCTCTCACATGCCTATGTGACTTATCACGGGTCATGCCCTGGGGCGGCAGCCCATATCCCGTTATCTATCTCCGGGCACCCTTATGTCTCAGTCTAGCCTTCCCAGAATTGAGTGGCTCTTACCCAGGAAGTTATAAGCAATGAAGTAATTAAACTTAAGTACTATTAAATT